TAGTAGTAGTAGTAGTAGTAGTAGTAGTTGTAATAGTAGTAGCAGTAGCAGTAGCAGCAGCAGCATTACTGCAATACTTCAGTGCTACGTTTACAGTGCGGCCTCTACATAACTACAGTACTACAGTACTTCTACAGTGCCAGGGTTCTACAGTAACAGCTTCTTTTTATCAATATATATATACAAAAACTACATCGCCTTCGTACGAGTACTACCATTGTTGGACGACTATGGGTAATACAGTAGTAGAACCGTGTCACTGCTAGCATATTGCTTACATACTGCAGCTACTGTGCTGCCAGAGAGCTACCACTACAATACTACTACTCTACTGTTACAGTACTACAGTACGTCGGGTGCTACTGCACTGCTTCATTACTAGGGTATTAAGCACGATTATTATTTAAGTACTGAAGTACCAATACTACAGCGCTGCTGCAGCACGACTGCAGTACTAAGCGTAGTACTACTATTACTACTACTACTACTACTACTACTACTACTACTACTACTACTACTACTACTACTACTACCAATATTTCTACCACTACTACTACTACTACCACCACTACTGCTACTACTATTACTACTATTATTCTCACTACTACTACTACTACTACTACTACAGTGCTGCATTTTCAGAATTGCAATCCCGCAGGACCACTATCGTACTATAATGCGTCGTTCGTGGAGTACTGCTATTACATTACTGGGAGTACGACTGTTACAGCCAATACTAGGGTACGACTGCTGCTGCAGTGTTGGGGTGCTGCTACTGTCACTGTACTACTACATCACGGTTCATACTCTCTAACAAATTGTTTGTAACAGAGACCACAAGGGGTCGGCGGACTTGTCCTAGAGGCTTTGTGAGAGGTCTTGCGCGGGATGTCTTGTGCGGTCTTGTATTGGCTCATCTGTTGGGTCCTGGGCGTCGATTCGATATATCTTGCTTTGGTCCTGCCCTCTTAAGACAACCGTTCTTTTCAGTTAACAGCGAGCGCCGCCCGCGCGGCCAGCGAAGACACGCCCACGTTGTGCTGGATTGCGATTGGAATTGCACGTGGCAGAGCGCCACAACCTTTCAGAAGTAAGAAAAAACCATGATGAATTTTGGGAGGTGGAACATAGGACGGGGACGACGACAGCCACGACGGCTTGGCTACCTTGGGAGCGCCCTGGCCCAGGGGTGTGATCCTGCCGTTGCCGCGTGGCTGGGCAGGAGGCATGGGGAAGCGCATCAACAGCAGCAGAAACAACAGGGAGGAGGAGGAGGAGGAGGAGGAGGAGGAGGAGGAGGAGGAGGAGGAGGAGGGAAGCATGATGAGGCTGAGCATGCGAGGAGCGGACAGGGAGGAGCGTGAGGGAGAGGCGCAGTCTCCGACCATCACTCCTGCTTTTTCTATGCTTTTTATACGCGAAATCATGTTTTCAGTTTGTCCCCACATGGATCGCGCAACCATTCGCGACCAAGCCCCCAGCCCAGGCTTCGGCGCGGATGGGCCGCGAAACGCCCCCCGATCCATGGGGGGCATGTGCACGCGCGTATTTTCATTGTCAAGACACCCCATCGAGCCGAAATGGTGGCCGAAGAAGCAGCGAGTCATGGAGGGGGGCGATCCGTGCGTTGTCAAACTGGCCGATCGGCCAGAGGGGGAAATACGACAAAGTATTGGCCAGATTCGGTGCCAAAGCTGATTATCGCGACGTGAGCGTGCACGCTGACGTGAGAGTCGTGTCGATGGCACCGGCCATCGCAGTCAAGTGGATGCGAGACCACCCTGGCTGCGGCGTTGCCGAGTGGTTGATAAGAGGGATCGGCAACTAGGTCGAAGCGCCAGGGAAACGATACGCAGCCCAGAGTTCAAGGATGTGTCAATAGAGAAGGCGCGTTTGTACGTGGCGTGGGCAACGGACGCGGTGTTCATGACGTATGCCCTTGCTGGCGCGCTTGAGTCGGCCGCCTTGGGCGGCGCCCCATGGATGCTGACGGCGCGCTCCAAGGCCGGCCTGGCATTGGTCAAGCGCAGGGTTGCCCAGAAGGCCGCTGCGCCAAACAAGAGCCGCCCGTTGGCACTGTGGCCACCGAGGCCGCGCAAACGCGCGGGGCCGATATGGCGGGCGTCCTGGACGGGGCCGCTTGGAAGCTCTGCGAGGACGCCATCGACAAGCGGCAGAATATTGTCGAGCGCAAAAAGAGCTCGTGAGGTCGGCAGGCGTCGGGCGCATTGTAGCGCAAGTTTGGCGTCTCGCCCATCCCGCTGGACAAAGCCCAGCAGGACGTGTTGAAATCAGCATGCAAGTGCCCGCAGACCACGTTTGACGGGCACCGTGACATCATTGGGGCCGCGCGCAGACCGCATGCACGAACTGAATCGGGCGCGAGGCCCAGGGGATGCAGGACAGGGCGCACGTGGAGACCACGGCTCCTGCGCAGAGGCGGGCTGCTCTGAGCCACTCGTTCGGCCCGCAGGTGGGGCCGCATGCTCTGGCGAAGAGCGGTGCAAGCGGGAAGCTGAGATTCTGGCACTGCGACGTCTGGGCCGAAGTACCCCGGCTGGGGCACGCGGCAGACCCCGCCGCCGCGACCGAAGCCGTCGGAGTCATCCCCTTTGCTCCAGCGCCCCGCCCCGCGGAGATCCTTACCTGAGCGGCCCTCCAAGGTCGCCTGGCTGCGTTGGACATGGGGGCACGAGCCCCGACGCAACTGGCGCGGGGGCAGACCTCTTGCGACGACATGTGCCGCTGGGAGCAGGGGGACTACCGCAGCCCTAAACGCTCCGGTTCCAGCAGTAACAGATCGGGCGCCGGCGCCGACAGTTTCTTCTCGGCCAAGCCGTTCCTCTAGCGCCCGGCGGCCTGTTCAAAACTTCAGATTGTAGCTTGCTGCTGCCCCTTTCTGCTACTCGATCCGCAACCCTAGTGCGCGTTGTCCAGGGTTGCCGCGACTGGCCTGGGCAGGCCTAGGGGCTTGCACCAGGTGCGCACGAGGCCCGCGCAAGACGTCTCAGAGGACACTTTCGCTTGCATTCTGGCCCGCGACCCCGGTGGCCGGAGGCCAGGCCTGAAGGTCTTGTGCCAGGTCTTGTGCGGGTCTTGTGCGGGTCTTGTGCGGGCCTTGTGCAGAAGCGCGACCCATCCGAAGCCCATCGGGGCGCCCGTCGAGGTCCGCGCTGAATTTGACCTCTTGGAGGCCTCTGTGGGCGTCTTGGAGGCCTCTTGGGCTGTCTTGGGGCCATCTTGGGCGTCTTGGACCGATCGTTCGGCGACTCGGGGCCCTGTTGGGTCGTCTTGGTAGCCTTTCGGGTCCCTCTGGGTCTATCTTGGGGCCCTCTTGGGCCTGAAGAAGTCACTCGAGAAGACGCGGCGCGCCCCCGACGAGACGCGCCACGTCCCGGTAGATTTGGCAATTTTGGGTCTGGGCTCCTCTGAGGCTCTTCAGGGGTGGGGATACAGGCTGAGAGGATTGAACCCGTGACTTGAGGACACGCTCGCTCCGTGTCCAGCGGCACGGTGGCGGATATCGATCACAGTTAAGCACCAGGCGAAAACACGATGGACAAGAATCCATTCGCGAATGTAACGACTGGTCCGTCCTGATCCCACTATTCGGCTATCTGCTGCGGGGAGAAGCCCTTGCGAACTCGCTGAAGCGCTTGCAAATGGTTTCGCAAAATGCCCCGTGGATGGCCCAGGTCAGCATGGTAATCATACGTGTTGCCGATAGGCCGCCGTGTCGCCCAGGCTTCACATAAGCAACGAAACGTAAGAGGATGAATGGAAGAAAGAGGAGGATGAGGAGGGCGAGGAGGAAGAGGAAGAGGAGGAGGAACAGGAACAGGAGGGGGAAGATAAGGAGGAGGAGGAGGATTAGGAGGAGGACGAGGAGGAGGAGGAGGAGGAGAGGAGGAGGAGGAGGAGGAGGAGGAGGATAAGGCAGGCGGTGGACACGGAGGCGGAGGCGGAGGCTGAGACGGAAGCGGACGCGGAGGCGGATGCGGATGATGATGACGGTCATGATAATGATGATGGTGATGATGTTGATCATGGTGATGGTGGGGTGTTGATTAATGATGAATGGTGGTGATGGTGCTGGTGATGGTGTTGGTGCTTGTGATGATGATGGTGGTGGTGATGGGAGTAGCGATGACGATTGCTCTGATGATGATGAAGATGATGATTATGCTGATGATGACGATGCTGGTGCTGGTGCTGATGATCATGCTGATCATGATTACGATGAGGATGCTGATACTTATTGTTGTGGTGGTGGCGATTATGATGATGTTGTGGATGATTTTGATGATGATGATGGCGATGGTGATGATGATGCTGATGATGATACTGCTGTTGTTGATGATGGTGATGATGACTAGAATGATGGCGATGCTGATGATCATGATGGTGATGCTGATGATCATGATGATGGTGATGATGATGCTGATGATGCTGTTGTTGTTGATGATGATGGTGATGATTCTGAATATGATGATGGTGATGCTGCTGCTGATGATGATGATGATGATGATGGTGGTGGTGATCATGATTATGATGATGATGGTGATGATGCTGATTATGATGATGATGATGGTGATGATGATTATGATGATGATGATGATTCTGATGATGATGAGTATGATGCAGATGATGATGATGATGATGATGATGATGATGATGATGATGATGATGATGATGATGCTGATGCTGATGATGATGACGATGCTGATGATGATGAAGATGATGTTGATGATGATGATGATGATGATGATGATGATGATGAATCTGATGAATATGATGATGAATATGATGAATATGATGATGATGATGATGATGATGATGATGATGATGATGATGATGATGATGATGATGATGATGATGATGATGATGATGATGATGATGATGATGATGATGATGATGATGATGATGATGATGATGATGATGATGATGATGTTGTTGGTTGTGTTGGTGGTAGTGATGGTGATGTTAATGGTGATGCTGAT